TTTACGCAATCGATTAGCTGATGAAGTGTATGCCGATGCTTCAATAAAGCGGTCTCAGCAAGAAAATATTTCTAGCTAATCAAATAGGTACAATGATTGACAGTATTGCAGCAGACCAGTTTTTTTTTGCAATGCCCACACGCGAAGAGCCCGCACGTGCATCTGAGTCGTCGATATGCATATCATCGGCGTTATTGCTCGCAGGACGACTCTCGGTTATCATGTATGCGCAACAACAAAAATAATGTCTACAGTACCAGCAAGACTACAGCACGACCTTCACACAAACGAAAGCTGCATTTATTCCATGGCGCTGGTACGCCAACCTACCAGCGCCATGGAATAAATGCAGTTTGTGTGAGCTAAACGTTTTCGTTCGACATCCCAAACTCTCCTGGAGTTATAATGTAACTCCGTATATTATACAGTATCATCGATGTTGCTTCTTTATTTTGTATCTTTGTTGCAAACGCTCAGCCATGATAATACTATTCTCAAGTCATTTGATATTGATCGTCAAGTTAGAATGGAATCAATCGCATCTAAAGCTCGGTTGACTACCCTTACGACAGATCAAAATCTACCAATCCCACGCATTCGCGTCTTGTTACTGCAGCTAGAACGGCCACGCATTGTTCAGATGGTCTGCGTAGTGTTCATCACTAAACGGAACTTCCGCTTCCCCGAAGTTGTCTTCGTCATTTAAAGCCACCCGAGCCGCGTCTGTGAGTTGTCCCCACATGATCAAATCCTCATAGTAACCATCTTCACTCGAAAAATACAAACCCGAAGAGCCTAGCATTTTGTAATCATATTTGAACCGGAGAGACGTACCCAAGCCCCTACCACCAACAAAATAGGAGGACTTCATGTCGACTTCCTTGGAGTACTCAGTGTCAGACTTGGACATAGAGACCCCTACAATCTTAGGCGTCTCAAAAGCAGGATTGTCAATCCACACAATAACGCTCTTCCAGTCATGGCGTCTCGTAGGAATGTCTTGCCAAAAGGTTTTTGGAAAATACCAAGCGTACATGATCGCCCACACGTCCTTGTGCCACCTGGTTAGACCGTAGACCTGAGAGCGCTTACCAGCAAACGTACACGCGTCGTTTTCATTCGTTCCCTTGAGCCCACCACTGACCTCACCGGCAGCATTTACGGCAGGATACGGCGCGCAGACGTACGGCGAAAGAGACAACTGCGGCTTAAACTTGATCGCACTCTTTTCAGAGACAGTGACGGGCTCGGGCTGAGGAAATGGCGTAACTTTATCATGATCAACGCTTGTAGCAGCGCAGACAACAAGTAGTCCGAAAAGAACTATAATGAGATTGTGTAGATTCATCTCGACGCTGAAAAATTGAGAATGAGCTACGCTTGCAGAGAAACGGTGAGTACTAGTACAAATATCTGTCGCTACCCTTTCATACCCGGTTGCATCAATTTAATGTCCGTTTGAACAAATTCCATACCCTTTGAAAACCAAGTTGGTTCCTGTCAGCACTAGGTACGCCGACCACCATGGCAGTTACGCACTGTCGATTACGCCAGGTACTGATTATTGCAACACTTCGGTGTTGCAGATCAGCAACAATATGGTTAGAAAACCTGTTAAATATTTATCTCAGCTTATTAGGTATACATTCTCACAGGTAATACCAGGACACTACAAATCGTCCATCCCTTAAAACACACCGATTGAAGTCGCTGTACCCAGACAGCTGGACGTAATCCCACACTCGTTTAGCATACAGTAGCTTGGAAACGTTGGCGTCTATTAAAAACCAAAATCGCAGCTCACAGATTTCTAGTGATCCAGTACTGCATTGCTGATGGGCAACATTGTAGTGTTGCAATGCAGTGACTTCCATTTTACCATAAAGTTTACGTAAGAAGCACCGTAAACGTTATGGCTGGCACTGCGTCAAGCGTAATCGTTGTGGTTTCCAAATGACGTACATGTACAAAACAATTCCGTAATGTCAAATATTGCAGTTGATATGCTTGGCTCGTTAATTCAACGGCTGGGCCATCATACTTTTTTTAAGTACTTGATTTTTCTAAACTGTTGATCCGACATTACCAGTAAATGTACCAGGCTTCCCATTTTTGCTTTTTCGCTAATACAACGAAGCTATACATTTATCCCCAGCGTACTTAAAGACCTAATTCCTGCGCACTGGTAAATTATGTAGCCTACCTCTGAGTGTGGTTAATATAGCGGAGTGAAAAGACAGCGAGGATTCGGAAAATGCCAAGCACCACAAACACATAGCCAAAATTGGCCCAGATGTCGTCGTACTTGTACTTGAACACCGACTCGACGTATCCCTTAACCGTGATGTGGTCGATCGTCACTGGTAGCTCCGTCACGGGCTGGCAACCAATGTTCGAGCCCACATTCTCGTAGACACCCAGTGTCTCGTTCCAAGTGGGTTCATCTGGACAGTCACAAAACACTAGAGCCATAAGGATTGCGAGTGAGAATCGCTGCGGTGTGATCGTGTACAGCCACTTGTACCCGCTCGGAATGGACGAGGACGGAGGGTTGAAGCCAGCGAAAAGCAGGAAGATTGAGTTGATGAGTACACCAATAATCGCTGACACTTCGATGCTCGGGAAAGCGTAGATCAGCACTTGAGCGAGGTACGCTTGCGTCAAGACGAAGAAAGACAGGTTGATCCAGTATAGAACACCCGACGCGAAGGACTGGAAGCCCACCATTGGGTAGAAGATAACCGTGAATAAAAGACACGCGAAGAACACGTACGGAATCTCCACTACAGTAGAAGCCACGAAGTACCACAGCGAGTTGTATGTCTGGGAAGCACGTTCACGGTAGAACGCGGCGCGGTCCAAAGCTGTAATGGGTAGAGCGCCCGTAAATGTGGCAATGCCCATGAATAGTGCCGTCATGAACACCATACCGACTCCACCATTGATGCCTTGATACGACACGAACTCTGCGTTGATGTACGTTAATCCCGACACCAGAGCAAGCCCCAAAGCGATCACGAAGCGAGTCAGATTGTACGTCGGAGTGCGCCAGTACATGACCACAAAGCGCTGAATCAAGAACCACATTTGGGTGAACGGACCAGCAGCACGTTTCTTCTTGAATACCATCTCTGGAAGCTCTGATGTTGGTTGAGTTAGGCCAGGTTTTTCGAGATATTCCAGCAGGTACTGAGCCTCTTTACTCTCCTTGAAACGCTGCACAAAGTCCGTCACATCGCTGGGTTGGTAACCCACACCAGCGCCAATAACTTCCAGCATCCACGTCGCAGGGTTCTGCTTATCGGGGAGAGGAGGGACTCCCTCAATCGCCTCCAAATAGTCCACGAGATTCTGGCATTCCTGGCCCAATTCACCAACAAATACCGACTCACCACCTCGTTTCAGTAGCAACAAGTGATCAAACAGGAAAAACACATCGGACGAAGGCTGGTGGATCGTACACACAATGGTGCGTCCACTATCAGCCACCTTTCGAACACCATCCATGATCAACTTGGCAGAGTGAGCGTCCAGCCCGCTGGTCGGTTCATCCAGGAACAAAATACTCGGTTGAGCTACAAGTTCCACACCAATTGTCAAGCGCTTCATCTGCTCTTGTGAACTGCCTCGAACGATCTGGTCTGCAATATCGTGCATGTCCAACAAGTCCAAACACTCATTCACCGAGTCGTATTTCTTGGCCGACAACACGGTACTGTCTTGACGTAGAAAAGCACTGAATGTGAGGGCCTCGCGGATCGTAGAACCTTCCGAATGAATGTCCATCTGCTCGCAGTATCCCGTACAACGACGAATTGCCAGGTCGCTGGCTTCGTATCCGTTCAGGTAGATCTTCCCTTCAATTTTGCCGCCAGTTTTACGACCAGCAATGACGTCCATAAGCGTCGTCTTGCCTGCTCCAGATGATCCCATCAATGCCGTCAAAGAGCCTGGCTCAGCGTATCCGTTGATGCCCTTTAACAGCTGCAAACTCTCCTTACGATCATGAGGCGATGGTACCGTATACCACAGATCCTTCCATGCTATCGTGCAAGGTACAAAGTGCTTCTCACGTCTCGTAACATTCACCACCACTTCGCCTGTGTCATCTCCGTCGGAATGAGTGTTGGCGGATGAGTTCTTGGGAGTTTGTACCAATGCGTAGTCACCTCCTCGCTTCTCCATCTCCTTCTCGTCTGTCACAGTCTTTGGTAAGAGCTGAATGTTTTCTGGAGCTTCGTATCGATGATACTCGAGAACATAACAACCCAGCACCATGAAGAAGATATACGCCACGATCATGAATAAAATACCAGTCCAAATCCAGAATTTATCGGACGGAACTCCATACTGCGACAGATAGTATTCGCCCATATTCATACCGTAGTCGGAACAGTAGTTGATGTCGCCGTACTGACACACGTCGTAGGCACTCGAACGGTATTCATTCACCGACAACCCACGCAGACACCACGCGATGGGGTTGATCCAATAGACCCAGATGAGCCACCCGGGAGTTTGGTCTTTGGTGATCACAAACCCAGCGAACAGAATAAAAAACACGATCGAGAACGTGGACATGGGTTTGGCGATATCCAAGTTCGGCGACATGGCCGACAAGCAGAAAAACCACGACGCGAACACCAAATTTGTCAATAGCAGTAAGATGAGGTAGATGATGTACGCTGCAGCGGTAGAAGCGAAGCCACACATCCAGTACACCAACGTGGCGAACACCAAGATCTCCCCAAGTGCTTGAGGAACCAAAGCGATCGAGTTGGCGATGACCCACGCGGATGTTCGGTAGAAGTTGGCGCCGCGTTGCTTGTAGAAAATGGACCGGGCTTCCATGTACGTCGGAATCTGGGACGCCTGACCCAAGGACAAGAACAAAGTGGCTTGGTAAATCACACCCAGCATCACCTGGACATTGGTCGGATCTACGTCGTAGAACGTACTACCGTAGATGAGTCCCATGACCACGACCATGAAGGTCCGTACTCGGATAAACGCTGCGTTTCGCACGATAATGATCAGTTGGCGCAACGTTAGCGTCCGGATATTCTCCCATAAAGTCTGACGGAACTCGGGTATGGGGTCCATGTTGTCACCTACACGGTCAACGATCTCCTTGTCGATCGGTGAAGCCAATTCCTCGATAATATCCGAGTACAATGAGGACTCGCGGAACATCTTGGCGAACTCACTGGCTAGACGCGGATGTTTCGCCATCCCAGGAGGAAGAGCAGCTTGGTATTTGTATTGCTGGTTTGTGCCCAGATCCAGCAAATAGTCGGCTACGTCGCGACCGTGAGGACACTTGAAGCCTAGTGACTCGAAGTATGGAACCACCTTGTGACGAGGACCATTGTACATCATCTCGCCTTCGTTCATGATGAGAATGTTGTCGAACAACTCGAAGACTTCAGGAGCAGGTTGCAGCAACGCAATCAAGATCGTTCGATGCAGATTCTTGGCGACACTACGCTGGGTTTTAATGATATCGTACGTGGCTGCACTGTCCAGACCCGTACTGATCTCGTCCATGAGCGTCATGTATTTGTGACCGAACTGCATTTCGCCACTCGTGACACGTTTACGCTCCCCACCTGACACACCTCGATGCATCGCATTGCCGATAGCAGTATCTTGGCAGATCTGCAGTCCCAATTGCTCGATGATAACGTCCGGGAAGCGAGAGAAGACGGCCTTGGCAGCGGCCAATGCACGTGCGTTGGCTTCGGGGGTACCGCGAGACAGCATTTTTTCGCCGTGCTTGGATAACCCTCCCTTGCAGAAGGCGTAGGCGAACTCCAGCGTCTCACGGACAGTGAGTGTGTGGAAGTGACGATCGTATTGGGTCACATACGCTACGAACTGTGGCAACCGCTTGGCGATCTCCTTTTGTAGTAATCCGTTGTACGTCATCTCGCCCTCTACAGTGATATTTTTCTTAACCGGAAATTGTCCGCTTAATACTCGCATGAGCGACGTTTTACCCGAACCAGGCTGACCAAGTAGTAACGTGATTGAACCGGGCTTGAGCACGCCGCTGATGTTCTTGATTACTTCTTTGCGCACCACCTTTTTCTTAATGGGGTTCAAGTTGGCTATTGCGCGAGCCACGACGTTGTAGAGCGTGGGTAGCTCCGACTCGGCCGTCACCTCGCTGGTCACAGTCACGTCGGCCGAGATGGACACGTTGTTGAAGCGCACCTCCATCTGAGGCAGGATGCCGCCTGTGGCCGCCTTGAAGGTCTCGGCCATGAAGTTGTGCAGAGCCTCGGGGCCCCGTGCTATCATGGTTTCACCCCAGTGCACACTCGCTGGTGTGGCAGGAGTCGACGGCTCCGACATGGTCTCCGACGCGATTGGGGCTGAGCAACTTGTGCGACACAATGCCAATTCCGAAGTGAAGTGCATACAGAAATTTGCCTGAATAAGGAACGGGGTTTCAATTAATAACCTCGCAATTTTTATAGTCGGGAAAGATTTAGGGAGATGGGATAGTGATGGAATAGGTACTGACAAAACAATCCAGGCACTGACTTTGATTTCAATTTAAAAAATGGCGCGCAGTAGGTGATCCTCCTTCGCTTCAAGCCCTACGAGCCGAACTTCATTCCTACATTTACATTCAAGCTCACTAGCCGACTGCTTCCACTAAGCAATGTCCGTGTTGAGAAGCTACCCCCGAACACCACCGCCAAGATCCAGACGGAGCAGTCTAGAGCAACAGAATATCCACACTACAGAAACAGCATATTCGGTTTGGTTCTGTATGATTTCGGTATTTTTCAATATATACGGAGTAACAGATCCCCAGCTGCTATCACGCAGTTGCGCAGGACAAATAAATAACTTCGGCCTGCCGTGTCAGCAAAATTGAGACATTCAAAATTTTAAAAAAGTCTGTGAGGCCGTTTGGACCGCTCATTCGAAGATTTTCCAGCTCCCAGACAACCCACTCAAATCGATGGTAAGCCGTGATGAATGGCTCCTTGCAGTGCTCTTACCTGTCTAACGTGCTGCTGTGTAATGCACAGCCACCAGAAGAAGAGCTTCCTCCTTATCCTGGCCACAGCAAGCAGTGCAAGACCCCTTCCCGGGATCCCGTCGTGCTGTCGCGCCAGCAGCAAGCGCAAGCAAACCGCGTGAAGATTCGGTCCGCCACTCGCGCTGCGCAAGAAGACGTTGAGCCACCAGCGAGACGACTGCCCCCTCTCGCTCAAGTTGTAAGAGGGTGCGGATCGCTCGCTCGTATGGTGCTGCTGAACCAGGGGTCAAGAAACTTATTAGTGCGGTAAATCTCGGATATCATTGGGGTGCTTTTTACGTTGATTTTGAGAGAAAGCAATGCTTCCTGTTCGACCCGATGCAGTTAAAGAGCAACATCACGTCGCTCAGAACGGCGGTGTGCACTGTCGTAGAGCCAATGCTGAAGATGACGGACCAGATCCAGTACGAAACTATCACTGGCTCTGAGCAGCAGGATAGCTCGTCCTGCGGCCTCTGGTGCTTGGTCGTGTTAGAGCTACTGCTCTTTGGAGCAACTCACGATAAGTGGAGCAACTATTGGAGCGACTCGTTGTACGAAGCAGGTGGCTATTTGCGCATGCGGTACTTGCACAAGGTGATCAAGCTGCAGAGCCACTTTCCAGTTGAAGACGAACCGGAAGAAGAGAAGTAAGTGCAGACATTAGTTACTGGTAACTTCAACACGAATTGATTTTGGTATCACTTTGAAGCCAAACAGAACCAAACCAAAATTATACAGAACCCGTGGGACTTAGAGTTTTTTGCGAGGTGTTCCTGCTCCAGGGAAGCCCAGTCAAGTCTATATTTTGAAAAACGGCTGTGCGTTCAATTTTTCCTACTCAGCGCCCTATTATTGTATAGGACACATAAGTAAACGACGAGATTTGATTCGCTAGAAACTATGTAGACTATAAAAGGCGACATGTACACTATAAACGACATCAAACTTACGCACTTACCGAGCACTTACCGCGTAAAATACTGCCACTTCGTCATTTATTTGAAAGCCAATTCTCTGTTGCACACAGAAAAAATACGTTACCTATCACGCGTGTGTGAGAGACCATATTTTCGTCTATCCATTTTCTGTTGGACTAGCACGATCCGATCCAGACGCTGGATTAGGGGGTCATCAATAGCATTAAACGCTACATCTTATCGCAAAAAATGATGTTCGCATTGGATCGCCTAGGCGAAGGTCTCGATAACCCGTACAACGTCGACCAGCTAGCTGCACTGCTCTGGTGCGAGGCTGCATGGTCTAAAGCTAGTGCTTCCACGATTCAGCACTGCTAGAATCACTCTGGTCTCATTCAAAAGTCGAATCTTCAATTATCCTAACTTAATTCAATACATGCACATGATCCGATATCATAGTCTGTTTTTAGCGAGGCATCGTCAGCTTATGCAATCTCTTTCTTAATTTATATCAGGCGTTCCTTATTCAGGCAGATTTCTGTACTCAGCAACTGTAGAGTCACTCTGGCGGTCATCGTAGGCTTGCACCCAGCACATTCCCACGACGTGCGGGTCATCAGTGTACCAAGTTGAAGTGACGATAGAAGTGCGCATTCTAAATAGTAGTACAATAAATACTACTTAAGTAAGGAAATTGTAGTACTGTACTGCTAAACAGCGCTATAAAACTAGGGTGCTTTAAATGCCCTAACGATTTCGTTAATATTAATTTTCAGCTCTAGCGGACTACATGTATCAGACTACTTGAGCTTGTTATTGGTTTCACTACTGATCTTGTGCTGGTATGCAATCGCTTTGAGCCTTTTGGTGAGGTGAGAACTCCAACTAAATGCAAAGAATTTCAAGTCAAGCCCGTGGATGCGTTACCTACATATAAACGCTGCACTGGTCTTGATGCCTGCATTATTTCAATTTTGACAGATGTGTGTTTGTCTTTTCCCTCTTTCGATGAAGCCACTTCACCTTTCTTTCTTTCTTTGATACATTTTTGAGTTGTTTTTAAGCAATGACAATCTGAAATTCAAAGGTTTTTCTCTAGGGCGACAGCAGGACATAGATCGAGCGTAGGTAATTAAGACTCCTTGGCGTCACCACTGTCACTTTTCGGCATAGAAATTCGGGTTACGCTGGTTGGAACAATATTGGTGGATAAAACGAGGCACAAAAAGTGTTTTGTCGCGTGGCTGTGTCAATTACTACTTCGTAGTACTTCTAATATCCAATGTCGCCAATAGCAAATGCTTAGAGCATCTCCACCCAAAGCTCGCTATCTCTATCACTAAACCGACGTTTGGCGCGGCGAAACAAATAAATTTCAAGTTTAGCGAGGCTAGTACACACCCATGACTCGCTAAAGTGATCTTCAAATTTGAACAGTCGTCGAAGTTCTTCGCAAACTGCAGGGAGAACTATGGATTGGAGACAGCGTATTCAACCAGTCCTTGCTATCCTACACGATGAGGTCAACGATGACTACGGGGATGATGAAGTAGCAGCTGTAGCCGGCGTTTGTGTTGCTGTGGCTGCAGGGACAGAGCCACCGGCTAAGAAACGAAGAGGGGGGTCGCAGCCTGGAAAAAGCCCAAATATTGACCGTGGACGTGCAGCTGCGGACCATCTACTGTACACAGTCTACTTTGCTCCAAGACCTCTGTTTCCAGAAGCTCTGTTTCGTCGTCGTTTTCGAATGTCTCGTCGTTTGTTTCATCGAGTCGTCGAAAAGGTAGCTGTGGCTGACACTTATTTCACACAACGGCCGGATGCACGAGGTGTTCTTGGCTTTTCACCCCGTCAAAAAGTAACTGCTGCGCTACGCATGCTTTGCTACGGAATAGCTGCCGACGCAACAGATATATACATCCGCATTGCAGAATCTACTGCTATGGAGAGTCTAAAGCGCTTTGCAAAGGCAGTGATCAAGTGCTTTGGTGAGGAGTACCTACGAGAACCTACTGCTAACGATATTGCCCGCCACACTGCCATCAATGCCAGCCGTGGTTTTCCTGGTATGTTCGGGTCGCTGGATTGTACTCACTGGATCTGGAAAAATTGCCCTTCGGGTTGGCACGGTATGTTTCAAGACCGTGACGGAAACGTTTCTATGATTATGGAGGCGGTCGCTACGAAAGACTTATGGATTTGGCATTCTTTTGTAGGTCTTCCTGGATCTAACAATGACATCAATGTAGTGGATAGGTCCCCTCTGATTGTAAACTGGCTTAAAGGGAGCGCTCCCAATTTCGAGTTCGAGGTCAATGGGAACAAATACAGCATGGCCTACTTGTTGTGCGACGGTATTTACTCAGATTGGTCTGTGTTTGTGAAGTCGATTAGACAACCCGATACACCGAAAGAGAAGCATTACGCTGGCGCTCAAGAAAGTGTTAGAAAGGATGTGGAACGTTGTTTTGGTGTTTTGAAGGGAAGGTTCGGTATACTAGCACAACCGGCACGTTTGTGGGATGACGATATCCTTCGTATTGTATGGCGATGCTGTGTTGCTCTTCATAATATGATAATCGAGGACGAGCGCGACGAAGACGAGGACCCTTACATACAATCAGTAGAAACTCTGTCTGGTGCGCAAAGTATACTTCCTTTCGATGATCTACTCGCAGGTATCTCCCGCATACAAAACCACGCTGCTCACGCCCAGCTGCAAAATGACATTGTTGAGCATCAATGGAATATCAGGTAGAACGGTAAAAGCAAAACACTCTTCTTACCAATGTAACACTGTGAAAAAAAAACTAAGCAGCTGCAGTATAAACGCCGAGTTCTGTATCATCTTGATCATCACAGCCGTCACCACTTCCATCAAGTACTGAGGCTTCCGCTACTACAGTTTCTCTCGCCGACGCATGGGATCTCTCAAGTCTTCCAAGAACTTGACGACGACGCAGCTCAAAGAAGCGCCGAGAGTCAGGGTCCAATTCGTCAAGACATACTGTAAACAATGGCACGTCACAAGCGTCTTGAATGGCGCGTGCTCGTTTTTTGCTTGCCGCTGCAATCTCTGCGTTTGCCTTGGCCAATTCTGCAATTGAGCTGGAGGTGGAGGCAACTGCCTTTGCTTCCTCCTTTGATGCCTTTCTGCCTTGGGGGCGCGCGCCACGAGCCGTACTCTCGCTGTTAATTGCGTCACCCCCCGTTGTTGTGCCTTGACTATCACGGACGGAAGTCCACAGCGACTCGCTGCGCAGGATTCGCCAGCAATGCAGTAGCTTGAACGGCTTGGTCGCTGTCACGCCATCGCGATCCTCCATCCTCATGTAGATCTGCTGTGCGTCTTGGATCTCGTCTTCAAAGCTCGCTCCAGACCGGCGCTCTACCTTGTCCAT